CTTGCTCGGCACTGAAACAGGTTTGTTGATTAGGAAGTATGATGTATGTTGGTGCGGTGAAGGACTTTGTTAAGCGAGGCTGATGTAGTCGATGTATGTGGGGCTGTATTTCAGATGTGCACCTTCTCATTGCTGCACCTAAGTGTTTCGTAGGCGCCTTTGGCTTGGTTCCATTGTAATGCAGGGTGTTCTATTCGGATACTGGTAGGAGAATGATGTTTCGCGTTGTGCTAGTGTGGTTGTAGGCATTGGGGATTTATCTATGACGGGGGTGTACCCCAGACCCGATGAGGGAATAATTTTTGAGGTTAGGGATTGTTTAGGTGCTTTGTTTTTAGATTGTGTTTTGGTTCTTTGTGTTGGTTGTGGTGAGTTGCTTCATTTCGTGATTGTGCTGTGGATTAGTCTGGGGTCAGCCTCTGCTTGCTGTTGCCCCTACGCCACACCAAACTCCCATGTTTTTGATTCATTTTAACCTAAAGAAGATCAGGCCATGAAGAGAACTGGCATGGAGTGAGACCGAAACAGCGGGTGCGCCATGATGCACGAGCATGCACAGGACGCTGTTTGCATTCACAGCCTTAACTCACCCTTCGCCACGCGTGCGCGATCTTACATCTTCCCCAACACGTCCACCGCCGCAATCTTGGAAACATCTCGAAACCGTCGTCGCACGTGGTTGGCCTCATCTCAGAAGTGCCACGTTTCAATGTTCGTGGCGCGGGGATTGTAAAAGGACCAGGGACCACCATGTGGTGACTACGTATGTAAGATTATACAAGAGCCCTCGCAAACCAAATGCCAAGGTGTTGGGGATGGGCTTGGAGCTGGGAAGCCTGGCATATGCATGCATCCGTGCAGGCATTTGGCCTCAACGTAGCTTTGGAAGGCTCCCCCTGCTGAAAACAGTCATGACCGATGCGTCAGCCCTGCCAGAAGGGACGGGCACTTGCTCGCAGTTCAACGTCATGAAGGCAGTTCTGTGTAGCCAGGGCTTGTGCATGCCGCTTTCTCTCACCACGTGCCAGCTTATGTGAAAGGTAGGGTAGGGGCCCCGTTTCATTGATGTTTCATCGAGCCAGGGATTTGGCTTCATCGACATGGGCGGCGTCACGGTCTTTGTTCACAACTCCGACTGCGAGCCGGGAAAGCAGCCAAAGGAAGGGGATGTTCTGACCTTCAACTATGAGCCCAGGACTGGGCACTGGTAATCTCTGTAGGACAGTGCATCAATTGCATTGTGTGTGTGCATGCGCCGCGCGGCCAATTTTGCATAATTCATGCTTTGGAGCCTACATCGTGGCTTGATCCGTGCAGGAAAAACAACCCCGAGCAGATGCAGGCCAGGAATGTCAAGGGCTGCTCCGCAGCACGGACGGACGTTTGGGGTCAGCCCGCCTTCGCCGGGCCGGTCGAAGGCACAGGTGCGTTCACAGGGACAGTCAAGAACTTCGGTTCAAAGGGCTATGGCTTCATCGTCATGGAAGATGGTGTGGAGATGTTCTTCAACATCAAAGATTGCGTGGGTAGCAAGCCAACTGCCGGAGACACCGTAAAGTTTGACATCGAAGAAAGCCCTATAAAGCCCGGCAGCAAGCAGGCACGAGCACGTCACTGTCCTCGTAGTTGAGTTGACAATGTCAGCGCGTAGAACCAAAAACAGAAGGAATCAAGCATGAGTGAGCGCAGCTGACGGCAGGCCAAGAACGTCACTGGAGGCAGTCAGCCGTTGGATCCGCCGATGGGCATGAAAGGCGGCTGGGGCCCAATGTGGGATGGCGGCAAGGGTTCGTGGGGTGGAGGCTGGGGTTGGAACGGTGGCTGGGATGGCGGCAAGGGCATGTGGGGAGGTGGCGGGAAAGGGGGTCTGAAGGGTGGTATGATGGCCGCCGGACCATATGGAAAGGGTGGTGGAAAGGGCATGTGGTAGGACAGCGTCGCTTCGTCACATGCTTTATGCATGCTATATAGACTTGCCGCAAGCCCGCTTCACCACAAGCCATCTTTGCCATTCTTTGCCATGGTGCAGCGCGCACAGGCAATGGAGCAAACAGCATTCAATGCAACCTTGTTGTCTTATTGGCGGGAAAACGTTTGGCAGCTCTTCCTTCCAACTTATGCTGTTCGAAGTCTTTGCGGCCCTGCGCCGGTGTCTGAGTGCCTGTAGCAGCTGTATCAGTTTTGACATGGCCCCATTGCTAAATGTGTTTCTAGATCCTCTAGCGAGGGTCTATGCAGTCATTCTCTGAGTATAACTATGCATCGACGTCTCACATATGATGGCTTTAAAGCGCGAGAAGCAAGGTTGTGGGTTTTCTGGCATGATTGCATGGAAGCCAGCCGAGTCCGTTATAAAGATCAGCCTTGCGACAGGCACTGCTTCTCGCGGGAAGAGCCACCAATAACATGCACACAACCACCAGGAAAAGACGTCGCTAATCTTTGCACCTGAGTCATGAGAGTATCGAGCATTGGGTACCCCCAAAGGAGTCCTTTGCAAGCAGAGGTGTATCAATAGGGTTTCAGAAGAATCCAGGGTTGGTGATGCGTCCACCGGCCGCCCCCCCAAATGCTGGCACGTCATTTTGCAACCGCCACAGGCTCAAGGAAGCCCACACCTTACCCCTGTGAGATGGGCCAATGGCCCCCATGCATCTCTTTCTGAGATGCGTCTCTCTTGGACTTGCCGCGTTTTCTGTTTCTTTGGCCCAGCAGACCCTTGCATGCATCTTCATATCTTCACCGACTGCTGTAGAAGTGCACTCACTAGAGAGCTATTCAGCTATTCGTTCTCACCAAAGGTTGGCAGCAGAAGCATGCGAAGAAGGTCCTCGTGATCAGCTTGCCCCTCCTGTTCCCCCCATGCTTTCCATTCTCCCTCGCTTGCTGTTGTGGTGCTTTTTCTGGCGGATGCTGCAAGCATTCTGAGTTTGTGCAGTGTCCTCATCTTGTCTAAGCCGTTTTTCACGCTGTACAGGATATCCGGCCAAGACCAGGGAGCTGCTGCAACATGTGCCACTTCGCCGTTCGATTTCCCCGGTGACGCCGAATGTTGGAAGCAAGGCGCTCCGACCAAATGAAGGAGGTATGCCAGCGTCTTGACTGAATTTCTGGTGACGAGCGGCTCATCTGCATGTCTGTTTGGGAGAGGGAAGTTGCCATGCATCTGGGAAGGACGTGATTCACGTGGGGGTGCTCTTGAAGGCATTCTACGGCACGGCACCTTGGTACGACCATGTACAACAAATCGAAGCCTTGTAGTCTTCCCCCGCATCCTCAAGATTCTAAACCCATCCTCCGTGACGCGCTCGTGTGCAGAACCTGCACGACGAGTACTGGGAGGGCGATATTGTCCTTAGCTTCTCATGGCACGACCCTCGAGCTGCGGGCTTGGTTCCACAGGACAAGGGGCAACAGACGCTTGTAGTCAAGTCACTGGGCTTGCGGCCATCAGTATACTGAGTTTTTCTTGCCCTAAATCCTTATGGCCAGTGAGGCCTTTTACTTTAAAAATCCCAAATATCCAAGTCCGACACGCAGAGATCCTAAAGCTGAACCTGTAGACAGCAGGGTGACGGCAAGCGCAAACAAAACCATGACTAAAGCATCGCCCTTAAGCCGGAACTTCCCTGTTCCATGCTTATGCACCGTTGGGACGAAAGCCCAAAACTCTGACAGTGAGACCCTAAACTGTAAACTTCTAGACCTGCATCTACTTAAGCTTTGAAAGCATGCATCCAAGTCTCCAGGACTTACGCCACCGTATCCTATCCTCAGATCAAGCAACCCAGTTGATGTGGATGCCTGCCTCTTGGCCACAGAACCTAGATTGTGTAGCATTATATGCAGCATGCGTGCATTCCACCGTGGTGGACAAGGAACAAAGCATACATTCAGCTGAGGATATCGTGATTACGAATGTAGAGATCGAAGGCCAGCAGGTTGTGTCCACGTCCATCTACGTGGATGACAGCGGCAACGTGAATAAAACCCAGCGCGTTCTGGTGAGGATAAAGGAGACTGCATGAGATTTGCATGCTCACGGTTAAGAGTCAGCAATCCACGGTACCGCTGCACAAGAACTCTGATGAACTGCGGCCTTACAGTTCTGTGGGGTGGGGTTTGTGAAAAACTCCGGCACAAGAGCAACGCAGCAAGGAACATTTTTTGCCAAGGGGCTGGTGCTGGGCAGGCTACAAGGGCTCCTTGCGAGCGGAGCTGGGGTGACAGTTCCGATGCAAAATGCAGTGATTTGCATTATTTGTGGATCAGCCTTTTCGCCGTATCGCTCGCAAGTGTCGTGAACCTTCTTTGTACGCTGCCCTACCCACCTCCACGCTGTTCGGCAGTTTCTCAGCGACTTTAAGTCTACTAATCGCACCCACCCTGCAGAGGCGCATGATGTGGGTGTGAGTGTGTGGTGTCTCGCAGGAGGAGTTCGATGGCAAGGAGTTTCCCTACGACAAGCAGGTTTCCCTGCGTGCTTGGCTAGATGGAGTTTTTCAAAGAACGGTTCTGGGCTTGCTCAGCTATCTTGGCTGTGAGGCATTGACGATTCAGCTGGCATCCGCTACATACATGGACGATGCTGTCCAACTGGTACCGTGCAAAGACTATAGCTTCACAGATGCCGGGCCTGCTCAATTCGCAAAGTCTGACTGGACGTACTTGTGGAATGACTTGACGTCGTTTGTGGAGATCTCTGGGCCGCTTCGAAAAAGCCGTGCTCAGTTTGTCGTTCATATTGTCCGCGACGCCTCGCCCTTTTTGAGTGGCACCATATTCCCAGAAATCATGATCGTTGTCCTCGGATACACAGTGCCCTTGCTGGCAATGGTGTTTTCCTATAGCTTGCTGTTGAGATTTCGTACGCTTTGCGTAGCTTTGCAGTTCAGCTTTTGCACTTGCACTTTGCAGTCAGGTCTTCCTTTTCCCTGTCAATCCTGGCTTTGCCATGCCGCGTGTCTCATCCGTGGCGCAGCAAGCAAATGGGCTTCGATGCACGATCCGGGGTTGGAGGCAAGATAGGCAAGCAACAGGCTGAAACGGCTCCAGGAAATAGTTGGATACAGTTGGCTTGCATATTTCTGCCATGAATAGCCCCGACATGACAAGGAAGTGAGTCATTGTAGCACTTCTTGTTGGTTTCCAACGTTTACAGGGGCAAGACGGCACAGACTTCAGCAAGGAGTTCCTCAGTTACTCTGTTTTTTGTGAGCTCAAAATTCTTCTTTGACTTAAACTGAAATCGTTCCCTGGCTGAGAGATGCTTTCTTTTCCAGAAGCATCGTCTCGATGGCCCTGTTCATCGGAGCCCCCTCACTTCCAGCGCGGATGCTTCATGCCCTCCAGGAGATTAAGCCATCATCTTGCTTGACTGGCAATTAAGAGAAGTCAGGAAATTCAACAGCAAGAAGGCGGCACATTCTCTGACTATCCGAAACGGATGCAGCCGTGATGGCACTTTAATCTCAAGTGAAACAAGCTGAACAAGCTGCCGTAGGCCTTGACAAAACTCGAAAAAGGGCGAATCTTTTCGTCTGGACAGCGACCAGGGCGCTGGCAGGATGAAGGGAAGGGGAGAGGAGCAGGAAGATGGTCTCGGAAGCGAAACGCAAAGCCGACTGGGGTTATCTGTGTCACTGAACGTCCAAAGACCCGGCTGCCCGCAGAGCGGTGCCATTTTCAGCCTCTTGGAGCTCGCATGAAGGTCCAAAAGGCGTGCAACATGCCCGCCTTCAAGCTTCGAGCCAACGAAAGGGCCAGGCTGCTAAAGTAGGAGCCCGCACAGACAGCTTATCTGAGAAAGGGCCTCCAGGGATCTGGCACCATGGTTCTAGGGTGGCCCGGAAGTGAAGCTGCTCCAAGCAGAAGTGGCGATACTCAGCAAGCGGCTACCGACTGTCACCATCAGCAAAGGTCTGCTAACGGCACAAAGTGTGCTCGGCGGCACGGGCTCCCTCGTGTCAGCCAGGGGCAGGAAAGGCTGAGACTGATGCAGATTACTTGTAGTAAACACGAAAAACAAGTTAAACAGGCTTTGAACAAGAGGTGGAAGCGGATGTTCCTTGTGGAAGCGCCTGCTTCTGCGGCGTTTGTTAACTCCCACTCTGCTTCAATCACGATCCCTTCCTTTTACAGCCCCTGGCATCTGGATTAGCCTCAAACCCTTTGAGCTGTAGCTTCTGACGGTCCAACCATTGTAAACGTGCTTGACCCCTGCAACCGGTTTCAAAAATTTAGTCGACCCGGTTGCCAGTGAAATCTAGAGGCATTCACGAAGAGTCACAGGGCAGACCAAATTTCTGGCTTCCCCCTCGCCTTTCCGATGGCCGCTCATGCAACGGTTCTGCGAGAGTGCTCCCAGGCAATGATTGCCTTTCTGTCCATTCTCACGATCAGCACTCGGACATCAGCGATGCTGCCAGAGGTCCGTCGCGGTGACTGAACTCGAAGCTAGCAGCAAACTTTGTGCAGCTTTTTTGCACGATGAAAGCCGGAAATTAGAATGCGTGCAAGGCATCGTTTGGATGGAGCTCTTCGAGATAGTTTGCAAGATGCTTTTGTTCACAACAGTTTTACTCAACATCCTGACGGAGCGGGTTTTCCACACTTGGCACCTGATCTGAAGATTTCATGTGCATCTTGCATAGAGCCGATGTAGCAAGGCGTGTAAAAACGCATGGGGTAGGCAACAGCCGGAGCTTGCGCATCGGCTCGTCTACGAGCTCAGAGTCGGGGCCTCAGATCTCATGAGTGTCAAAAATCGAATGAAATGGAAGGTAAAGTTTCAAGATGTTGACAATACCAGCGACAGGTGGGCTTCCCTGTTGTCGCCTTCGCCTCATTGGCTTCCTGTTGGTTTGCTACAGGGCAGCACTTGCAGCTCTTTGCTGCAGTTCACAGAATAGCTCTGTTGGCTGCAGTGCTGCCAGGAGGCATTGAGTATTTTTGAGCCAAGCAGCGCGAACATTTTGATTGGGGGGACTGGAAACTGTAAACAGCATGCGCTGGCAGTGAATGTTACTCTTGTGGCTTAAGGACGCTGTTCATTTGGTCCGTGGTGCTCCGGGACCGTGGAAATACAATGGAGAAGTGATCGATAGCGGACAAGTATGTGGTCAGACGCAGGGTCGTATTTCCGATGCCAAAAGGTGCGAGCAGCTGTTGTGAGCACAACGGCAAAGACAGTTAATGCACAGACCAACGCATTGTCATGCTTGATGTGTGGGCCTGGCTCCAGGTCGGGCAAGGGACGCAAATCTGCAACACTCGTGGTTGCATAGAATCTTTCTGGCAGTAGGAATGATCAGCTGGTACCACAAGTCTTACATTCCGTCTGCTTAAATCGGCATAAATCGGCGCAGCAGATGCAGCAATGCAAGACGATGCCAGCAGCTCATCGTCGGAGGCTATGAGCCAGCAGCTGAAGCGAAGAAGTCAACCCTGCAGCAAGTGGAGCAACCGCTGCGCAGGTTCCTTCGAAGCGCCGCCGACGCTTGCCGCTGCCTGCATGTGTGGGGTACTCCTCCAAACCAGATTCACCTAGATCAAGCGGGCATCATGTCAAGGTGGCAGAGCTCTTTGGGAACACATGCCAGGATGACGGCGGGGACCCTGGCCTGGCAACGTGGAGTGGAGATACGAGTATAAAGTCAGTGTGCGCAAGTGCTAGTTTCAGGGGCCCCGCAGGCTGGGCCGAATCATGCGGCTGGGGAATTCGACGATTGAACGAGCTGCAAATGACTGCCAAAGCCTGCTCCTCCACAGCATGGCTCAAACCCACATCTGCAGAAGTCTCGATACGACACCGTGCCAAGAACGGACAATCAACATGGACCAAGATAGCAGTTACTCCGGATCAACTTGTCAGGGGTTGAGCTTTGCCTTCAAGTGAACATTGAAGGCTGCCGTGGCCTTCACTGAAAGCCATGACCGATACGTCGGCCTTGCCAGAAGGGACGGGCACTTGCACGCAGTTCAATGCCATGAAGGCTTGGGAGCTAGCAACGGCTCTTGCCTTCTAGGGAAGCGTTCAGGCCTTGTCCCTGGTCCTGCCAGGGATTCGGCTTCATCGACATGGGTGGCGTCACAGTCTTTGTTCACACAACTGACTGCGAGACGGGAAAGCAGCCGAAGGAAGGGGATGTTCTGACTTTCAACTATGAGCCCAGGACTGCACGGGTCTGTGGGCACCGCTTGTGTCTTTTTGTTTTAACCATGTTGTGCCCCTAAAACACGGAATAAGAAAGATGCTCTCAACCCATGCCTGCCATGTGTTTCGACTCGTTTCGACCATTGTCAAATGTGACGTCTCGAATTCGCCATGCCTACCAAATGTTTTCAAGACATGTCAGATACTTATGCCTGCATCTTCTCGCGAAGCCCTACAAACGCAATCAACATACCTTCCACGGCGGCGAAAGACGCCGCTTCCTTGTTTTGGCGCATGTATGACTTGCTGCTGCCCTGACGCACGATTGCCCATCATGCTCTTGAATGCAGCGCAGGAGAAACAACCCCGAGCAGATGCAGGCAAGGAATGTCAAGGGCTCCTCTGCAGCACGGACGGATGTCTGGGGTCAGCCCGCCTTCACTGGGCCAGTCGAAGGCACGGGTGCATTCACAGGGACGGTCAAAAGCTTCGGCGCGAAGGGCTATGGCTTCATTGTCATGGAAGATGGCGCGGAGATGTTCTTCAACATCAAAGATTGCGTGGGCAGCAAGCCAACAGCCGGAGACACTGTGAAGTTCGACATCGAGGAGAGTCCCTCCAAACCTGGCAGCAAGCAGGCACGAGCCAAAGTTGTGACTGTAGCTGCTTGTTCGTGCTGGCTTGCCTGGGCCCGCCACACAGACGTCAGAATCAAGCATGAGTGAGCGCAGCTGACGGCAGGCCAAGAACGTCACTGGAGGCAGTCAGCCGTTGGATCCGCCGATGGGCATGAAAGGCGGCTGGGGCCCAATGTGGGATGGCGGCAAGGGTTCGTGGGGTGGAGGCTGGGGTTGGAACGGTGGCTGGGATGGCGGCAAGGGCATGTGGGGAGGTGGCGGGAAAGGGGGTCTGAAGGGTGGTATGATGGCCGCCGGACCATATGGAAAGGGTGGTGGAAAGGGCATGTGGTAGGACAGCGTCGCTTCGTCACATGCTTTATGCATGCTGGCTTGTGGCAACTGTGGCAATGAAGCAAACAGCATCACCGCAGCATCTTATAGGCAGTTCTTGGGTGGGACGGCAGCTCTTAGCTTAGCAGCTTGTCCTGCATCCAAAACTCTCGAAGTCTTTACGGCCTGGCGCCGGTGTCTGAGTTGAGCCTGTAGCAGCTGTTTCAGTTTTGACATGGCACGTTTCGTGTGGCCACCAGGTGTTGAATGTGTGTTTCTAGATCCTCGTGAGGGTCTACAGTCAATCTCAGGGTAGAACTGCGCATCGAAAGTCTCACGTATGATGGCTCTACGCACGAGAAGCACGTGAACGGTTCGTTTTGGCACGGCTGCGCGGAAGCAGACCGTGTACATCACCACCACATTGGGCTTTAGACTTTAGACCTACCTTAGGCACCGCTTCTCGTGGGAAGCCTTAGCATGCCCGAAACATATCAGGCAAAACATGCCGACTTGCCAGTTCATGTCATGTGATCGTCAATTTCTGTTAGTATGCATTGCATTGGACTTTTGGCATGCCTGTGCGAATGCCCAGCTGAGATGCTTTGGTGCTTGTGAACCCGGTCGTTGTGCGCGTGGTGCTAGGCCCAAAGCAGGGCGCCAAGTGCATCAAGCCCGATTGCATTTTCGCATTTTTTCATGTCTACACGCATTCATGCACCTTGAACCATCTCAAATACTAGACACTGCAGCTGTGGAAGGCTTCGACTGCGGGTGTTGGAGGCATCGCCTGCTTGCCAGGAAGCCGTCATCGAGCAGGCAATCGGACAGCTTTGAATTGACTGCTGTCTCAATTGGCTCCCGTCTGACTGTTGTCGCATCAGGCAGTAAAGCATGCTGAGGCGGACAGGCCAGGAGTTGACATGACACGATATGACACGTTTCGGGATTGTGCGGATTTGTTAGGCAATCTCGCGAAGGTCATAAGGCCTCTCCAAAACAAACGCCCGGTTGCAAACAAGGGCTGACTCGGTCCTTTCAAGTGGGTGGCCTCGGGATGTCCAGTTTTGAGAATGCCACGAAGCTCGCCCTGCTTCGCCGAGCAGGCCTGCCAACTGCACCGAAATGCCGAAGCTGGACAACGAACATCGCAGTCTGCATGAACCCAAGTGCAAGGTTGCATGGCCTGCATGGCATGGTGGGAGGTGGGTTTGTGAGCATGCAGGTTGGACCCTTATGGTCTGACTTATGAACGCTCCGTTGCCCTGTTCGCGCTGTTCACGGTGTTCGCGGTGTTATTTGCGCCGTTCGCGCCGTTCGCGGCGTTTGTGGTGTTCCCGCTGTTCGCGGTGTTCGCGGTGTTCGCGGTGTTCGCGCTGTTCGCGCTGTTCACGCTGTTCGCGGTGTTCGCGGTGTTCGCGCTGTTCGCGCGGTTCGCGCTGTTCGCGGGGCGCTATGGTGCTGTTCGTGGTGTTCGCGGTGTTCCCGCTGTTCGCGCTGTTCGCGGTGTTCGCGGTGTTCGCGGTGTTCGCGCTGTTTGCGCTGTTCGCGCTGTTCGCGCTGTTCACGCTGTTCACGCTGTTCACGCTGTTCGCGCTGTTCGCGCTGTTCGCGCTGTTCGCGGGGCGCTATGGTGCTGTTCGTGGTGTTCGCGGTGTTCCCGCTGTTCGCGCTGTTCGCGGTGTTCGCGGTGTTCGCGGTGTTCGCGCTGTTCGCGCTGTTCGCGCTGTTCGCGCTGTTCACGCTGTTCAGCGTTCACGCTGTTCGCGCTGTTCGCGCTGTTCGTGCTGCTGGCGCTGTTCGCGCTGCTCGCGCTGTTCGCGCTGTTCGCGGGGAGCTATGGTGCTGTTCGTCGTGTTCGCGGTGTTCCCGCTGTTCGCGGTGTTCGCGGTGTTCGCGGTGTTCGCGCTGTTCGCGCTGTTCGCGCTGTTCGCGCTGTTCGCGCTGTTCACGCTGTTCGCGCTGTTCGCGCTGTTCGCGCTGTGCGCGCTGTTCACGCTGTTCACGCTGTTCGCGCTGTTCGCGCTGTTCGCGCTGTTCGCGGGGCGCTATGGTGCTGTTCGTGGTGTTTCGCGGTGTTCCCGCTGTTCACGCTGTTCACGCTGTTCACGCGTTCGCGCTGTTCGCGCTGTTCGCGCTGTTCGCGCTGTTCACGCTGTTCACGCAGTTCGTGGTGTTCGCGGTGTCCCGCTGTTTGCGGTGTTCGCGGTGTTCGCGGTGTTCGCGCTGTTCGCGGTGTTCGCGCTGTTCGCGCTGTTCGCGCTGTTCACGCTGTTCGCGCTGTTCGCGCTGTTCGCGCTGTTCGCGTTGTTCGCGCTGTTCGCGGGGCGCTATGGTGTTCATGAGTGTATGGTCTTGCAGTTTGGCCTTCTGCTCTGGTCCGCACCTGGCTAGTTGCTGTGCCAGGGTGCCCTGGCTCCTCCGAAGTTTCGCGCAGGTCCTGGCCCAAGCGATTGCCTCCTACGTTGAAGCAGTCTCCACCGGCTGCAGCCTTCTGGAGCATGGTTGGCACTTGGTGCATGTTGCCCCTTTGCAATCGTGCGACAAATGTTTTGGAAGGAGCTCGGCGCTGGCTGTGGAATGGTTTCGCTCACGGTGCCGCACGCAGCTTGCACACCCGCCTGTGGCTACGTTGTGGTCCTGCGTTTGCCTGGTTCATGCTGGCTTGCTCAATCGAGGCGGCACGTTTGGGCTTCGACGTGCTGGCCACCGATTTCAGGTCATCACCGCTGCGCTTGGTGGCTGCATCCGCAAGGCAACAGGCTGGACCAAGAATCAAGCGCAAAGTTGTGCAGGACTGTTTGTTGCAAGAAGCCCTCCTGTCAGGGTCTCAGCACACGGGTCCGCACGAGTCTGCTGGACATTTGCGACTTCTCCACGCCATTGCCGCCTGCGCGAATTATCGTGGCTGCAGACGTCCATAGCTGAGATGGATTGAGATGGGCTGAGTCAGAGCGGGTCCTGTGAAGTGCGCTTGAACTTCCAAGTAGTTTTGCAGCATATCGCCACAGTGCGCTATGCAGACAAGCAGCCCAAGAGGTCCTCTACGATGCCCAGACGGCAGAGGCCATGGCAAGACGTGTGGCCGAAGCTCACCTGCGCGGTAGTGCAGGAGGCTTACCATCCGTTGCCATGTGGCATTGCCCAAGGGCAATGGCATGTCTATGGCTCCGTCCTGTGTTAAGTTTTAGTGCTGCTTGCGACGCGTCATCGTGGCGGTTTCACCTTGTTTGGGGTATGTGCACCGTTCCTGACATAAAGCAGGCCCTCCTGGCCGGGGCCAGCCTAAGGAGAGATGACTCGCCTTTGAGTGATCAAATTGCGGCAACGCGCGCTCTGCATGAAAGTATTGGTACTGTTTGTCTCGAATTATGGTGCCGGGTGCCGTCTTATGACTTCACTTCGGAAGATTTGGAATGAGTGCGTGGACATGTGACATACTCCGCGTGCTGCCCCCGAGATGAGTTTATGTGAAGTTAAGGGGCTGGATTGAATGCAGTTTTAAACGCGTGCCACTCGAAATGCTCCTACGACGCCCGGAAGAATTGTCCCAATAATTTGCCTTTACGGAGGAGGCACCTGCTCAAGCGGGACCAACATAAAGTAGTCATTTGGGCAGCTTGTAATGACTTGGAAGACGCAGCTGGCCTGACGGTTGTATGAGCCACGCAGCGGAGAAACTGAACACAATTTGCCTGTCGGCTGCTCGGCAGACGGTCGTGGGGGAAGTTGCCCTCGCATGCCCTCGCTTATGCTTCTTTGGCCCTTTGGCTAAAGCCGACTGCCAGAACACAAGAAAATCTGAACGGCGCCTCTTTTTCATTTTTCATCAACTATGACTTAGGCTCTGTCAAGCGGAAGTTCTTTTCCAGGTATACTGTCTGCGGGCGGAATGTGAGACCTTCTGTAAGCTGAACACGTGGACAATCCCTTCTGTGATCTTCTGTGTCCTTTTGTGAAGATGCTGACGCATTTCGAGTCGTACGCGCAGGAGGGTAGGTTTGCCCACCAGCGTTCGTTCACATAGGCCTCGGTCATCTTTCCGCAGTGGTATGTATATGTTTAGGGAATCGGGGCTTGCTGCAACAGGCCCCATGAATCTACATGAAACAACCCCCACCCCCCCTAGTCGCGAACACAATGCTCGCAGGACGGGTTTTGCCTTGCTTTGCGCTGTGCCTCAATCAAGGCGTGTCTGGCCTTCACAAACACGGTCTGGATTTGCTTGCTACGTGAGGGGTGTGGGTGGGAGGGGAACCAGACATATTGCTGCGAACAGCGTTTCCTGGGTCTTCCAGCAGTGCTCTCCGGACGAAGTCTGACATAGCAAAGGCTTCTTCGCAGAGACCGTTTCGCTAAAATGCTGCCATTCTAAGGGGGAAAAGCAGGTGTCGCAGAAGAAAACGTCCACATGACAAACATCCAATTGACGAATTCGACGCGCTAACTTATGCAGCTCCCTAAACATGCCCTTAGCCAGATGTCGGCCTGGGTCTCGATTGTGCCGCGGAACTGCCTAAGAAATCGGAACAACAAGGCTTACATGCGTCTTCTAGTATCCTTCCAGGCCCTTAAAGCTTGGAACGTTGGCACTTGTGTGGCCTGAAGAATGCGTTTTTGGCTCCCACGATTTCTGCATTCGGCCAAGCTCTGACTTCTCAGCTTGTGTTCTTTCCAGGTCGTTCTTTTGGCGGATGTGGGTCGTCCAAACCGCAACAGCCCCGGAAACCACCAGATGCTGCCGTGTCTTTGGATTCGCGGTGACTCTCTATGTGATCATCGCCGAAGCTCAGATTAAGCCTCAGGCAGCAGGTTCTTAAGTCAATTGCGGCAGCTTCTTCCAAGTTTGGCGAGCCGGCTGCCAGGCAGGGACCCAGTGCTTCGCAGATTTTCACTATGTTCAATCTTTTTTTGGACACCTCGCCCTCACACAGGATTCGACTTCCCCGTTGCAGGGCTGGCTGTGCAAGAGACGGCGGGGCGGAGCGTTATCACGTTCAAGACGGTCATGATGAGCTACTTGTAACGACTTGACGGAGGGCATTTTTAATATGAGTTCATCCTAATGCCGAGGATGGCGTGAAGGTGGACAATCGTCGCGTGCCTGTTCAGCTGCTGGAGATCTGGTCCGTAGATGCCTGTCGTGTCTGGTGATGTCTGATGTCATTGAGATGCGTTCTCAACACCTTGAATCGACTGGACTTGAGAGTTGAATGCTTGAGGTCACTGCCACGACGATGCTTTGTAAAACCTTTGCCATCCTACCATGCAATGCTTTGTACGATTTTGTACGCACAGGAGCTCCCCTTCGACGGTCCAGCCTCCAAAGCGGCCGCGCTGTCGGATTAGCATGGATGAACTGCGGAGAAGGGCAAGCTATCACATGGACTTGCCAGCTTGTGAGCTTTGTGAGTGGTCAAAGTGACGAGCTTAGCGACATCATGCCCAGGTGCGTGTGGAAGTTCCTGCGCGGGGCGCAGATTCGCAGATGCAGATTTGTCCGTGGTTTCGATAAGCTCCCGCAAAAGCCCTGACCTTTAGCGAGATGGATCCCTGGCTGTAGGCCAAATGCATTCGCCCAGTCGCTGTGGGTGCAGCATCTCTAGTGGTGCACTCATTGGGGAGCAGAAATCTGTGGCGGAACTGCGCAAACAGTAGAGAACACTGCTCAACACTGCTCATGCCATCTCAGGTAGAATCTACATGTTGGGCGAATGGCAAAGAGAAACAATGCTTGTTTGCACTTGTGTTGAGCTTTGAGCAGTCTGTCATGGAGCTTGAAGATGAATTGGAGCATGAAGGAATCTCTCTCTCTCGCGCATTCTGAGAAAATGTTAGTGTAGTGTTCCTTTTGTGTATCGTGGTGTATGGCTTCTCGGCTCAGGATCCCAAACTTTTCTAGTTGTTTTTTAGGAGAGGGCCTCTGCACCATTGGGAGTGTGACCAGTCCAAACGTTGAGCCTAGACACATCGACCTTTCTCACAACCATCGAGTGTGTGGCAAAATGCTGAAAATGCTGAAGATGTCGCCGCGCGAGCATGGTCCCTCGACCACTGGATCGGCAGCCGCAACAGGCAGAGGTGATCTCCTTGCAGGACTGAGGAAATGTGATAAGAAGGTGTCATTCAAGTTGCAGCCGTGATGCGCCCGTATGCGATCGTAGAGCGATCGTGTAAGTCTAAGTGTAAGGAGCCGATTCCGGACGCAACTTTCCACGGAGAGGCTGCGACGGCAGTGCGCCGGTGTGCTTGCGTCAATGCAGATTTACTCTGGGCTTGTTTTGCAAGCAACTCAAGCGCTGATCGTTCTCGCAGATGTGACTTGGGCTGACTTCCGTGCTTGTGCGCTGCGCGATGTTGCGTGGAAACTGGCCAGAGCGAAAGGAGCAAGCCTCGTTCCGGAATGAGCCGGCAACCGTCAGAATCGTTGTGCGAGGACAGCGGGGGGGGTTTGATGGAGCAGGGGGATCCAGACTTTGAGGGAAGGAACAACTTGACAGGTTGGCAGGTCCACATGAAAAGGGTGATGGCAGATGTAGTTTTAATGAGATCGATTTCAGAAGCTTTTTTCTTGCTGACAAGCACGAGCCTGGAAGCAAAAAGTTCCGGCTGAAATCTGGTTCACGTCAGGCACTCGGCAGCTGACTGCCGTTCTGGACGATGCTGTGACGGTGGGAGCGCTGAAATGTCAGGCACAGAAGCGTGCAGCATCTTGCAGCATCTTGCAGCTCGAGTCTTCCAGCTGTATGTAGGCCTTGAGCATCCAGCTTGAAACGAGACTTAGCTCACACACCGAAAGTCCTAATCATCGGCGGCGGAATAGTGAGACCTCCCTCCTCACTCTCAGACAGCCAAAGTTCGGTTGGGTTGGTGTTCGCAGGGTGCTTGCAGTAGGGCCAGCAAGGGCTGCCTGAAGCGCTTGTGCTAACGTCCTAAAGCTAAGCCGCCAATTCAATTCTCCTGGAGAATCCACATGCCCACTGGAGAATTTCTGATCATCGCTGGAGGTTGAAGCGCTGACAGGCTGGCCAGGCCCAGCCGCTGCACTTCGTGGCCAGAATGGTTAGCACGTACTACACATACAACTCTTGCAACCGTGGTTGGCGCTGCGCCCTCAACGACTAATGTTAGGCCGCCCCCCCCCCCCCCCCCCCCCCTTAAAAAAAATCTGTTGTGCATCCGGGGAGCTTGAGGGTGGTAAAACACAGGTGGATTAAGGTGTCCTGGGGTCTGGAGGACTGGGGGTCTGAGGAGGGCCTGTTGTTAAGAAGGGTCGGCTTGGCCTTGTTTCAAGGGCTCTGGCCTGCTCTCTGCAGCTCTTTTGCTCGCGACCGCGACATACCGCGACCTCGCCTGTCTGATGTTCTCTGCTTTGCTGCAATGGACAGCCGCTCTGTTGCTGTTTCTGGCCAGCTCGGATGAAACAAATTCTTTGAAATTGAGCTCTTAGGCAATCTGCAGTAATATTTTGCATTTCTGGCCAGCCGAATTTTAAGATTGTCACCCACCCATAATTTTCACCGGACCCCCTCCCCACGCGTTTAAGCTTTTTGAGCGGGACCCCCGGGCCGGCCGAAAACTATAATTCCCACCCCCCGCATGCATTAATGACAGGTTCTAGACTGCCGGGATAAAAATCGGATATAAAGAGCCCTTCCCTTCCCATGGCTTCGGTGTTTAGGCAGCGCCGCGACTGCCGCGATGTCAGGTTTGCTCCGCAATCGAAGCAGCCTGCATGCAGTGCAGGAACAAGAAGTTTCAGGAAGTCGGCAGACGGAACAAACAATCAAAATCTGCAAAGGCTTAACGGCAGGGAAAGCGGATGTGGAATATATTTACCATTCTCAAACTGTTGTCAAATTCACGTTTTGAACCGCATCCCGATGTCTGAGACTCAGCCTTCAGTTGAGAATTATAATGAATTACACTGTCAGACATGTGATCAAGCACAATAGTGGATAAGGCAGTGGTTTGTTTGTGCTTTCTGGTGACCTCTGCCGCCCCTTTGTTTCTGGTTCCCACATGTGAACCCAGCATGAGAGAAGCATGTGAGAGTGACATGCGCACGCAGCGACCCAGTGAGACGTCTGCTTGATGGTTGTATAGTGCACTTGGGATCGTGTGGGATCACCTGGGTGTACGGATGTGTACGACAGAGAGCAAGACATAGACCTGTGAGAGGTCTTATGCGAGGTCTTATGAGAGGAGTCCTCGGAGAGCTTGGCAGGAAGGCAGCAGCTCCTGTCTGCAAACGGCATCCCCTTGATGGCGAGTCAAGATCCTTGCCCTATACTCTATAGCTGTAGCTGACACACGCAAGCAAACCGGGTTGACCGGATGCTCCCGAACTGCCAGCAGGAAAAGTTGTTCACACGTTCATACCTCAGGTGGTAAAAAGATTCCAGCTCTCGATGGGTATTTCGGAGCTGTATGCCCGCAGCACTGACGAGTCCTGGGTTCAGGAACTCGAGGACATGAAGAGCAGCTTTCCGTACCGTGGCTTGCACTCTTGCTGCACTCATAAGATGCACTCTAGGCACGGGGATGAAGAGTGCATAAGAGTGCCATGCAGGAGCTGGGGGCCACCGGGACAGAAGCTCGAGCAGATTTTTTGGCGGAGAATCTGGAGAAGATGATCGAAAGCTGTCTCCAAGAAGCACAGCCTCTGAACCTCGGTCGCTTAGTCGGGGTTTTTTCGAAGTTTGGCATTAAGTGTTTTGCCAAAGTGCATGTCGTTGCATCGGGGCGGCGCTCTCAATGGCTGCAACTGGCCTGGGCATTGTCAATCGCCAGGAAGCAGCAGCTTGAATTCAGAGCAGGCGGCATGACTCCTGGATGCGAACAAAAAAGTCCTTGCTTGGTAGAGTCCACATGATCGCGATGAGGCCATGTGACCTGGTGAATCGGAGTCCGGAATCCGAGGAGCGGAAAGTTCAAAAAGGCTACGAACATGGATCGGACCTTACAGTGTCTTACAGTATCGTGGGATATCGCAAACCTCAGCTTCATAAGTGGCAGACCGAGAGCTAAGATTTTGAGTAGCTCCGCTACCCTCGAAGCCGCCGCGCTGGAGCTGAGTCACAACCGTGATGTGCTCTTTGAGGCGCATCTAGGTGCACAAGCCCTAAGTACGCAGTTGCATAGTACGTGTTAAAAAGCAAGGCTCCGCGCGCAGCAAGGAGAAGCAGTGTAAGTCCATCTGCTGTCAGGCTGTGCCCAGAAGCTCAAAAGCGACAAGGCAAGCTGCGGAGGAGTGCAACCTAGTGCAACCTGTAAGCCCAGGCAATAGCGACTCTCGACATCTCTCGGCTCAGAATGCAAAGTGGGGTGACATGGGCAAAGAAAAGACGTACCTCGGCTGGAGAGAAGCCGCAGCTAGGCATGTTTCCGCTTCAGATGGCGAGGACATGATGCGCTGCCGCAGCAAGCTGCTGTCTTCGACAGAGTGTAATGGTGAGGTGCTGGAAAAATCTAGCCACTCGGACCGACTGAGCAATAGACGAGTAATAGACGTGGCCAGGAAGTGTCGCGATCGTGGTTGCAGAGCTGAGGACTGCTTCTGGGTCCAGTGCACTGTGAGCTTCAAGCGCAAGCGGCTGAACTTCATGGCCGACTGCAGCACATCCTGGAGCTCATGTTGCGCCAAAGCGAACTGCTCCATTTGCAGAGGACAGCCACGTAATGATTGCTGCGGTCCCGTCCAATTGTGTTGGCTTCAGCCCCGATCCGAAGCCGCAACTTCGTGTACCGCAATACCTGAATTGACCGTATAGCCCCCCCCCCCCCCTTGCATGTCTTCCCTGCCACCACGCACCATTCAGGACATTTAGGTATCTATTATTTCCTTGTGAATGCGGGATGTTAGACTGTCCGATCTGTCCGGGCACAGAGGAGTGGTTCTCGCCTGAGCAGGTTCCGCGGATGGCTGTCCGGCCGACAGGTGGATCTTGACTTGCAAAAGTGGCAGGCCAGACAGGGCAACCTAAGCGTTGACGCTTCTATTGTGGAGCAGGTCGCTGGCGAGCCTTGGGTGTTAATTTATCAAATTGCTCATCATCAAGTGTTTGCGTTTGTTTGTGCACGAGCTGAGCGATGTCGATTATGACGGTAATGATCCCGTCAATGGCAACAACGACGAAGACGACGATGATGATAATGATGACGGTGGTGACGATGGATGACTGCTGCGGCAGTGGATGATGATGAGAGTGGTGTTGATGATGCAGCTGTGTTAATGAAAAGTGACGGCGATGAGGACCTGCTCATCAATCGGAAAGCCTACCGGCAGGCAGTTGCTACGAATCCCAGCTCCAAATTATGTGCAAGTTTCTCTGTCTCTGGGTTCTCCTCGAACTGCCCCACAACAACGTGTACCATTCAACTGCAGGAACTTGGCAGCCATCAAGCTTGCCAACGAGTACCTTCAACAGGTCCCGGATTCAATTACTTTGCATGATGCATTTTCGCAAAGTCAGGACGAAGCCATTGTCCTCAACTGGGCCCTCAACCACGTCTCCAAGGCTTGCAAGAGCAAGTAAACCCTGGCTGCATGCCGTGCCCACGAGCCAGGAACGTACGTCGGACCGAGACTTCATCTTGAGCGTGGTGAGTGCTAATGGAGAGGCAAGGCCCTCCGAGATACGACACATCATGTTTCAATAGCCCTCGAGTACAAGTTTGTACTCTTGGACTTTCGGTCGGTGTCTCATGGTGTCGCTCGGTGTCACTCGCAATTTTGTCAGGCACTGGAAGAGGCGCCGCCTGCTCTGCGCGGGGACCGTGAAGTTGTACTCTGCGCGCTGAAAAGCTCCAAGGGCTGGGCTTTGCAGTTCTTCGTCCCATCCCGGACTGTTCGCACTGTAATAGTGGGCGCAGGATGAGACTGGATGAGTTGTCCGAAGTAAAGGTGTGCGACGCATGTGCCAGCTATACCGTGCTCGAGGCAGTTGACTACTGATGACTACTGTAGCCACTCTGAGAGTTGAGAGTGATCGAGCCGAGGTTTGCCTCTGATGCGCTGAAGCGTGACCGCGAAGTTGTGCTCACTGCTGTGCGCCGGAATGCCTTATCATTGGAGCCGCTGGTTGCACGGGAGCGTTTTTTCTCCTCCAAACATGCTCCGAACCTTCTGTGCGTGACAGAACTCAAGCGGCATGGTCGGTAAACTCAAGGTTCGCTGCAGAAGTGCTTCGCGCAGATCACCAGGTCGTTCTCGCTGCAGTGTGGCTCGAAAAGCAGTGGAAAAGCAGTGGTGGCGGAGCTTCGGCTGCTAGATCACTTGACTTGCCCACACGCCTGAGGCAAGTGCAGGGCGAAGCTTTGGAGTTTGCATCAGCGAACCTCAAGCCCTTTGCATGCAAGTGAGCCGTTGGTTCCTCCAAGTGTAGACTGTCTCTTGAGATCTCTTGAAATCTCTTGAACTTTGGCTTTGGCCAGGCAAGACCCCGTCGGGTTCTTAGTGCCGCAGTCGGCAAAACATGGCAAAACCATGGAATTCATGCTTCTACCTTGTCGATACTGCATGCGGAGCACCTCAGGAAATTGTGTCGGCCGCAGTTCGAAGCAGCTCCCCATATGCAACTATTCCAACGAGGGCCTTGTTCCAGCACACTCTTTTTGAGCGATGCCCACTCTGACCTGCCCTGGGTGGACAAGCGCAGTGACGCGAGGTCGTGGTTGGGCGTTGCAGTATGCTTCTGAGGCTTCCGGGATAGTGCGAAGCTGTGAGAAACTGGGGATGGCCGAATTCGCCTAATAATGCCTAATAATGCCTAATCTTCCACATGGATCCTCATGGTACAATGCTCCACCATAGTTCAACCGCACAGGAGCTTCGTGGTTGCCCGGCCACGGTTCTCGCAGCTGTGAGCGCCAATGGCCTGGCTCTCGAATACGCTGCCAGTACGCTGCGAGGCTTGTCGCTAGGGAGGATGAACAAACTCGGACGATTTCAGTTGACCAGATGCTTTGTGTCGTGCAACCCATTCTGGAAATTGTAAGGGGATCGTTGAACATGGGTGACGTGCCTCGCTGTGAGTCTCTGCGCGCGTGCCAAAGTATTTGGGCTTGGTGAGAGAGATTGCCGTACTTCAGCTTGTCTTCGCACCCCTGCGAAGCAGGTGATAAGCAGACGGTTCTGGCGGCAGTGACAACGAATCCGTCTGCCCTGCAGATCCATGGCCTGCAAGGTCGCTATATTCACCGGCCACTGATTTACTGATGCCTAAACTTCGTGCGATACTTGGAAGCTGCTTGGAAACATTGGAAATAGATTAAAATAGGTAGTTGCAGGCTGCAGCCGAGGTTTGCCTCGCAACGGTTGCGTGAAGACAGGGAAGTTGTGCTTGCTGCTGTCGTCAAGGAGCCGGGCGTCTCTAGTGAGCCAAGCTCTGGATGTGTGATTGATATTGATGCAAGACTGAACTACCGCCGAATTGAGTCGAAACTCGAAGTTCGCAAATCATGCAGGATGGCTGCGCGCTTCATTTTGCATCTGGAGCTGCAAAGGCCATGGGCGAGCCGCGGAATTGAAGCGCTCAAGCATTTCAATCCGGAATCTTCCACTGCTAATGAGATCCTCATCCTAGACAATTCGGCGACGCTCTAATGTCCTACCAGGCACGTGACTTCGTATAGACGGGTACCGTTCCACGGCAATCCGGGCTCCAGACGCGTTTTTCAAACCTTGGAAAAAGCATCTGGGCTCCCAAACTTACTTAGCCGACAATGCTTCATGCTAGGCCCGGGGACATTTTCACGCTGGAAAATGCATCTGCCAATGCCAACCCTGGAGATGTTTTCGGCCCATTCCCGAGCCGGCATGCATTTTTGCCACCCTTGGACAACGTGTTCGGGCTTTCAGATGCTTCGAGCCAACTTCTGGGAGCCCAAGCCAGGCACAGACGCGTAATCAGGACTTGGAAATGTGGGCCTCGTTCGGGCGCTTTGGTGCCGACCCCCGAGATGCTTTCTCATTACTGAGCTGAGCATGCTTCACGCCAGCTAACGTCAACTTTATTGCCCCAAACATCCAAAGCAGGTCCAAATTTTTTCCTTTCTGTTGGGCTTCGCAGAAGCGAGCACAGAAAGCACACCAGCTCCACTAAATCCCCGCGTCTGGCCAACATCGCTGCAACACTGGCACTTGCCCGACTCACGCTGTCTTACAGATCAGCGCGAGGGTCTCGATGGGTCGCGCCTGGCAAGGCCACCTCTACCCCTCTTCCTGTGAACACAGGTGAAGCTAAGCATGGGAAGCAAGGAAAAGAGCCAGAAGGAAGGAAGAGAGCCGGGATGACACAGAGAACAGAAGCGAATGGAGCCAGTCGAATGCCTCCGCAGCATCGTACTGCCACATTCTCGCTGTTATGTAGACTTGGAGCATTCCGCCACACAAACAAGCGTGGCGCAAAGGGGGTGCGGGGTTGCAGGGATAGGGCTGCGAGAGTGTGCCGGAAGCATGGATCGCTTGTTACTAGACGGTCCTCATCGTAATGTGTGTATGCCTTCACGAGCACAGACCCAAGCGGGTCGGCGGATTTTTTGCCTCAACAGCTTGCAGGCGGATCGGGCAGTTGTCCTTGCGGCTTGGTGGCAAAAGCTTGAAGCCTTCTTCGTGTTGCCATGTTGGTAGGCATATATTGGGTCTCCGGTGCTTCTGAATAGTTGCCTGCGACGTGTCCTTTGTACGTGTGTTGATTTTAAAGTACCCAGCATTTCCCGGCAACGTGTAAAGTGTACATGACAGTGTACTACTGTACAGTTTACTGTGTATTGTGTACCATGAACAGTGCACAGTGTGTTACAGTACAGTACATGCTTCCCCGCCGTTCCTGGTGTGTTCTTTTCCTCATCTTGCTCCCTCCCTTACTTTCTGCTACCTATCTACCATCTAAAGCTTTTCAAGCAGTCCCGACACTAAGGCAGCCATCCAGCAAGCTGGACCGCCGCTCAATTGAATCGACTTCCACTGCGATTGTCGGGGTAATGCATTCAGAAGCCATAACAGTATTTTCATATATATGGCAGACTCGCCACGGATCTCCAGAGTGGTTGATGTATCAGTGCCTGAAGCCTGCATGTGTCTTGACTGTCAAAAGCTATAAGCGGCAGAAACGTGACGCTGCCGCACAAACGGCGACCGCACATGCAGGCATGTGCTTCTAATGGCAGACGCGGCACTGCGTGATGACTTGTCAATCCTGGAAGAGGCCTCACAGCCACTGGCTCAGCAGCCCGAAGTATAATCAGGACTATTTTTGGTTTGTACGAGCCAACCATTCTTCCTAAATGCGGGCCCTACCCGTGTGTTAGGTTCGAGCTGGCATGGGTTGTTTTTCTTGGTCCTGCGCCCCCCTGTCCTCAGTAGACACTCCGAACCACCCGTCAATAACACATCAAGCCAAAGCCACGCCATATTGTTATCGGTCGATCTCGTTGATCAGCGAATGCAATTCGGCGGGCTGAAAACCACGTCAGACAAGGTGTAGTTTAGAACTCCTTCGTATCACGGGCAAGAGGCCCCCTGCCCCACAACCTGCCCACAACCCTGCAACAACAGACCCGCCAAAAAGCAAACGACTTTTGAAGATCCAGCACCTGTTCACAAAAGGCTTTTGAATGGACGAGAGTCAGCTCAGCTGTGGACCCAACAGCAAGCGGACTGCTGTGTATTCCTTCGCCATCATTCGCTAACTGTTGCAAATGGGTGTCGACAAGAAAGCGAGTGTTCCAATTTACTTCTACCCAAAATGCTGCTCCGCAGCATATGTTCGAAACTCGAAGAGTGTCCGCATGCCTTGCGACTTTGAGATCGGCGGAAAGGATGTTTGCATTGTTGCTTGCGATGGTTTCAAGCTCAACTTGCCAGATGTCCAAAACCGGCAGTGCGTTGTGAGCAACATAATGCCCTCGATATCCCTCGATGCGTCGTCTCGAGCGGGGACATCATAGGGGCTGCGAGAGGTGAACATGTGTATATGTGTCTGTGTGTCTCTGTGTGTGTGTGTGTGTGTGTGTCTCTGTGTGTGTGTGTGTCTCTGTGTGTGTGTGTGTGTGTGTATGTGTGTGTGTGTGTGTGTGTGTGTGTCTGTGTGCGAGTGTGTGTGTGTGTGTGTGCATGCATCAGTGTGTGTGTGTGTGTGGAAACAGATATTTGCATCCTGGAAAGGCTTCCCCGCCAAATCTACGTGTCGAGCAGGGGGCGGATGGACTCATTGCTTGATTGGGGGCGCAATAAGGGTTCGATTTCGCGCAGCAGACACTCAGACACTCAGACACTCAGACACTCAGACACTCAGACACCCAGACGCTCAGACACTCAGACATTCGGACCCTCGGACGTGAGTTGGTCTTGAAGAGTTTGACTGTTTGAGTGTCTGACTGTCTGCCTTCTTGGTCCGCTAATTCAGACATTCAGATGCGAGCTGGTCTTATTCGGACCCTCAGACGTGAGTTGGTCTTGAAGAGTTTGACTGTTTGAGTGTCTGACTGTCTGCCTTCTTGGTCCGCTAATTCAGACATTCAGATGCGAGCTGGTCTTATTCGGACCCTCAGACGTGAGTTGGTCTTGAAGAGTTTGACTGTCTGAGTGTCTGACTGTCTGCCTTCTTGGTCCGCTAATTCAGACATTCAGACGCGAGCTGGTCTTATTCGGACCCTCGGACGTGAGTTGGTCTTGAAGAGTTTGACTGTCTGAGTGTCTGACTGTCTGCCTTCTTGGTCCGCTAATTCAGACATTCAGACGCAAGCTGGTCTTAAAGATTCTGACGGGGGTCGTTTCCGTGCAGAAGACACTCAGACACTCAGACACTCAGACACCCAGACGCTCAGACACTCAGACATTCGGACCCTCGGACGTGAGTTGGTCTTGAAGAGTTTGACTGTCAGTGTCTGACCGTCTGCCTTTTTGGTCTGCTACTTCAGACATTCAGACGCGAGCTGGTCTTAAAGATTCTGACGGGGGTCGTTTCCGTGCAGCAGACTCTCAGACGCTCAGACACTCAGACATTCGGACCCTCGGACGTGAGTTGGTCTTGAAGAGTTTGCCTGTCTGACTGTTTGGCTGTCTGCCTTCTTGGTCCGCGAATTCAGACATTCAGACGTGAGCTGCTCTTAGAGAGTCTGACTGTCTGACTGACATTCAGATGCGATCTGGTCTTAAAGAGTCCGACTGTCTGAGTGTCTGATCTCGGTCCGCGTAATTATGCTGGACTTCAAGAGTCTGACTGTCTGACTGTGTGACTGTCTGACTGTCTGACTGTCTGATTGTCTCCCTGTCCGACTTGCTGGTCTGTGTATTCCGGATGACACTCAGACATTTAGACATGAACAGGTCGGCTTGCGTGTTCTAGACTAGAAAAGTCTAGCTGTCTGACGGCTTAACTCTCTGCGCATCAAAAAGAGAAGACAGTCAGACACTCAGACAGTGAGACATATAGGACCTGCAGACGTTCAGCCAGTCAGACACTCAGACGCTTTAGGCTACGCAAACACTCAAACACATAATCCAAAAATCTTGTGACTACCCAACTTCAGCGGAAATTCACTTTTCTACAGTACTTGGGTACGAGACCCGTGAGCACCCAAGTCTCCTCCAAAAGAAAATGGCTGACTGTCTGACTGTCTGACTGCCTGACTGTCTGACTGTCTGACTGTCTGGCCGTCTGACTGTCTGGCCGTCTGACTGTCTGACTGTCTGACTGTTTGGTTTTCAGTTTGCGCCCCATTTGCACGCTCTGTCGACATTGCTTGGCATCCGCCAACGAAGACCCAAGCAATGCAGTCGTGAAACGTACCTGCCATGGCAGCGCCTGGTCATCTGAGGATGTAGCTGGCATGCCGATGCATCGGCTTGCGTTTGCATTTGCATCATGTGCATCCGTCATGAGTGCATTTGCTTCCGTCATGAATGTACTTGCAACTTTTGAGTGCGTTGGAGGTAAGATCGCCCGAAGCTTTTTGGATGTGACGGTCCGTGCGAGCCAAGAGTTTTCCTTCCGATTCAATCTCTCTTGGTTTTGATCCGATGTCTCTGAGAGACGGGTGTCGAGCTGATGTATGTTCCCGCCTGAGGTCGTGTTTTGTCAGGTTGTCGGGGGCGTGGGCAGGCGCACATCCCCTCTCGCCTCAAACTACCTGCCGCATTTGCTGTTTTTCAAAAAGGTGGACAGGACCCTTATCCACTCTGTGGACAGGACCCGTGTCCACTCAAAACCAAGTGGTGGCTCACTTGAAACCTTTGTCTCGTTTTCCATGGGGGTTGCCAAACAGGTTTTAGGCAGTGCGAGCACCAGGGCATGCGCACTGTTTGCGAGCCAGCCCTTTCGAGGGCAGCGTGTGTGTGTGTGTGTGTGTGTGTGTGTGTGTGTGTGTGTGTGTGTGTGTGTGTGTGTGTGTGTGTGTGTGTGTGTGTGTGTGTGTGTGTGGAAACAGGTATTTGCATCCTGGAAAGGCTTCACAGCCCAATCTACATGTCGAGCAGGGGGCGGATGGACTCATTGCTTGGCATCCGCAACGAAGACCCAAGCAATGCAGTCGTGAAGCGTACCTGCCATGGCAGTGCCTGATCGTCTGAGGATGTAGCTGGCATGCCTATGCGTCGGCTTGCGTTTGCATTTGCATCATGTGCGTCCGTCATGAGTGCATTTGCGTCCGTCATGCATGCATTTGCAACTTTCGAGTGCGTTCTTGCATCCGTGTGTGTGTGTGTGTGTCTCTGTGTGTGTGTGTGTATGTCTGTGTGTGTGTGTGTGTGTATGTCTGTGTGTGTGTGTGTGTGTGTGCGTGTTCGTGATACAATTTATTTGTATCTTCGCCGGTGTTCCAAGGAGCGAAACTAGGGCATCAAGGTGTGATGTGTGAACGAGATTGACAAGACAGCGTAACGAGAGTGAAAGTTGTTTCTATGTTAGGTTCGTTCGATTCGCCCTCAGAGTCCAACAATAAGGAGGAATTTAGTGCCCAAGAGTTCATGGGCTATCGTAGGGGGGGGCCCATCGGGCCATAGGGCTTTCATAAACGAGTCAAAGAGTTCCGGTCCATAGGAGCCCTAGAAGTCACAATGGTTCATCCAAAGTAGGAGCCATAAGCAGGGGAGTCCAGAGCATCCTTGCAAATCACGAAGGTCGAAATGGGTCCATAAGGCTCCATCGTTTTAGAGGTCCATGCACGTCCATGGGGGCGGTACAGGAGGGGTGTGTGAAGGGTCAGAGCTGCAAAACAGTGGGCGGCGGCGAGAGGACCATGGGCTTCTGAGACCCCCTAGCAGGGCACAGGCCAACCGAAGGGGTCGACGACGGTTTTTTTCGTGTGAAACGCCAGGAAACCCACAGAAGCACGGACGCCCTGTTGCTCAGATACTTCTGACCCATGAAAGACATGCCTTTCTCCCGAGGCTTGACAAGCAAGAGAAGGAACGCGAAACGCCGTTGAAAGGCCCAGCAGGCAGGCTGCAACCATTACGTTTGCCGAGTAACTCAACCAAATGCGCAGTTCCAGTGGCAGGTGCGGAAACATCTTGGTCTGACAGTGCCTTCATAGAAGAGAAGACCCACTTGTAGTGATGGTTGTGCAACAATGTAACAAGCAGCCTTTGTTTCACTACTGCTTTGAGATGTTCTATCTTGCAAAGGTCAGGGTAGGACATCTTGCGTGTTCCAACAAAAAGCCGGGCCAGATGATGTTCGACTTACGCTTGGCTTGCAAGATACTTGCGGGGCACATGGCGTAAACTCCCTCATCATGTGAATCACAGCCTCTCTCAAGCTTGAGGCTGCTGGTTATGCAGGCTGCTAGGCAGGCTGGAGTGTAGCGCCATGAGGCCAGTTCTCACAGTGGCGAGCAACCCACAGGATGCCGCCGGTGACAGCCTGGACATGCCAGGCCTCGAGATGCCGAGCATAGACCTATCGCATGATTGTCAACAAGGATGCCTTGGCTGCAAGCCCACGCGGAGCAGCCGTAGAGGCAAGACCTTGTTCTTGGAAGTACCGATGTCTACAGAGGACGACCACCCCGCGACAGTGGGAAGCTGCACAGAGCACAATCTCGTAAAGTCGCGCTTCAGCGTCCGCAACATATGCTGCGATTCAGAGGTGCGCCTTATTGAGCGCATCGTACAGCCACTTCCTGGCGTCCAGAGCGTGTCGGTCAACAGCTTCCAGAAGCTCTGTCTCGTTGAACACTGCTCGCCATGCTGCACCCCCCCGGAGACAATCCTCAACAAGTTGAACAGCTCGGGGTTGGGAGCTGCTCTCGTCGGACAGGGGGGTGATGAGATTCACCCACAGCAACTTCATGGCCGCGAATGGTGCCGGCGATATGCTCGCTGCTTTGTGGTTCTTGGTGCTGCTCTGTGCATGGTTGCAAGTGGTCTCATGGAAGGTCTGGGCAGGGGAGGTGCCACCTTCCAGCTCATAGCGGTCTTCATGGGACTGCCAGGCATTCTCTGGGAGTCGTGTGTTGCACTGAAGCAGCTTCAGCTGGATGTGACCTTGCTTGTATCCATTGCAGTTGTTGCTGCAGTGGGGCATGGTGAGTTGTTTGATGCAGCGTTGGTCGTGCTTCTGTTCAACATCGCGAAGGTCATCGAGGCAGCTGCCATCCGACGTGTAGCCGTGGCTTTGCGTGTAGTGATGCAGCTGCAGACAGTCCGCAGCGTGCAACGAGCCAAAGACGGAAAACAAATGCAAATTTCAGACTTGCAAAGTGGAGATGTGATTTCACTTCGGCCTGGCGAACAGTGCCCTGCAGATGGGCTTGTGTCAGCAGGACTTGCCTCTTGCTCCGAAGCTGCTATGACTGGGGAGGCTACGCCAGTTGAAAAAGTCAAAGGTAGGGAGATCTCTTCTGGAACTTTGGTCTTAAATGGCTGCATTGAAGTCGAACTGACAAAGCCTTCCTCTGAGTCACGCCTGTCGGAAATTGAAAGCAGAGTGCAGGAGGCACAGGCCAAACGAACTGAGAGGCAAATGATGATCGGTAGATTTGCGCGAGCTTGGACCCCTGTGGTCCTCGTGGGCGCGCTCGTGACCAGCATGGTGCCAGCCGTGCTGGGCGGGGATTACACAGAATGGCGTCACCGAGCCGTCGTGCTGCTTCTTATTGCATGCCCATGTGCCATTGTGATCGGTGCTCCTTTGGCAACCACCTGTGCTATCGCAGCTGCGGCCTCGAATGGAGTGCTTATCAAACGTCCAGACACAGTCGAGCGGCTGCCAGCAGTAGCTGTCGTTGCTTTGGACAAGACAGGGACGCTTACGAAAGGCGAAATGACTGTTCTTGATGTCCAGAGAATGAACGACTGCACCTGGGATGAGACGCAGGCACTGAAGCTGGCCGCGGCATTGGAGATGAAGTCTGCTCACCCCATTGCTGCTGCCATTGTGTCAAGGGCCTTGGGCTGTATTGGCACGGCATATGGCTCAGAAACAGCTACAGTAAAAAAGGTCCGCGACTTGCCGGGCGTTGGAATTCAAGGTCATCTGCTCGTGGGCTCGGACGCTAAAGTGCATAAAGTGCTCCTCGGGAACAGCAAGGCACTGGACTTGGTGAATGCTGATGCGCACTCGCAGGAGCAGTTTGCCAGTTTCCAAGAGATGCACATGAATGATACGACAGTGGCTTTGATTATTGATGGCAAGTTGCAATTTGGTTTGGCTTTGAATGACACACTTCGACCAGATTCCACCAGATTCATTGAAGAGCTGAAAGGCTTGGGATTGAGGCCATACATGTTAACAGGAGATTCTGAATGTGCAGCAAAGCACATCTCCGCCTGTGCTGGTCTGGATCCAGGATCTAGCCTCTTCTCCATGACCCCGGATGAAAAAACTGAGTGGGTTGAGACTCAGAATGCAGCAGGCAGAAAGACCCTTATGCTTGGAGATGGCATCAACGATGCCACAGCCCTGGCAGTGGCCACCGTGGGCGTTGCGATTGGCGAGACGGGCGCTGCTCTTGCCTCGCAATCTGCTGCTGTTGTATTGCTCACTGACAAGCTGCACAAGCTCACGCAGTGCATCCGCATGTGCAAGTATGCAGTACGTATTGAGAGGCTGAGCATAACAATCCCTTGTTTGCTCAAGCTGTTGCAGGGGGTTGCAGCTCTTCGTGGCGAGCTTGACTTGTGGATGGCCGTTGTTGCCGATTTGGGCACGCTGCTCTTGGTCTTGGTGCTCGGGGTGTCGATTCTGTCGCGTAGATTCTGGACAGACGAAAGCCTTTCCAATAATCTTGGAGGCAGTGCCATAGTCGCAAAGCGACAGGGTTATGAAGAGTTTGTCTGAGTTTACTACTTAGAAGACCCTCGGCCTTTCTTGAAGGGAATGGCTCGAGGACAACAATGGAGGGGAAATTTCCCTTCTTACAGTTTTAACAGTTTTCTGTGATCAAATTCGTCGCTACGCGAATTTTCCGGATGTTCTACAAGATCCCACTTGCCTGCCGGAAAGGCATCTAGCTTTGCGGTAGCATGCGCTTTGCCCATCGCTGCAGTGCATGACAGTGCAATACAGTGCATTCTTGTGCGTGTCCATTCTGGAGCCCTCGGCTGGATGGCAACAGTCACCGCAAAAGTTGTGCCCTAGTGTTTAGGAGCAGTCTTGTCCGAGGCGAAGGCTGAGCAGTCCGTTTGTGAGGTCATGGTGCCAGTGACACGAGAGTCGCTGTTTTTACGCCGCATGTTGGAACTCCCTTCAGGTGCAGACAAGCAGCCATGCCGGTGCAAAAGCCGCAGCCAAAGAGCTTGAATTCCTCTCTAAGCGCGCCTGCAATCGGCAGCTGGACTGAAACTCATAATGACATGATGAGTTCGGTCATCCGAGACAGGGTAAAAAACACCCAGGAAAGAATGAGAGCATGAATATGCGTTCGACCACGGGCTCCTTGCCAACAATCCCGCGAGGGACTCAGCTTCGCTCAAGCGGACGCACTTGTACTACGGTACTCAGAAAAGGGTTCCGGTCGTTTAGCAGTTAGTTCGCCTTGTAGCAGCCTGGGCAGAACAAGCTGGCTCGTAGGATCCTGTAGGCAAGCATGCGGCGCTCCTGAACTCTGTGCCTAATGCAGGTCCGTGGCATTGTACGCCACGCCGTCCTACAGCTCTTCGCCAGCATTGAGTTGAATGTGTCGTTTACCTGCCTCTGCATGCTCGAGAACCAGATACTGATTTGCTGAGGCTCGCTGTATTCAGAACCGGAGGACTCCACATGAATCTTGAGGGAGCTGTTGGCCTTACTCCTCAGCATTGAATCGGGCAGGATCTAGAACCAGGTCCTGGCACCTACGAGATACCGCATACCTTCGGTGTGAACCTCGGGCACAGTTTGTCGAAAGGCCATAGGCAGCCTTTGGGATGCCTTTGGGCAGCCGCATCGTTATATGTGTCCAGGACGTCAGCAGCTGTCGCATCGCTTCTCCGAGCCATCCGCGCCATTGATTGCGAAGCACGGCAAGGTTGCATATGGAGCTACCGCAGGTCAACTAGCAGTGGCATGCAGCTACCTGCAGCAGGCGTGGTCAAAGACGATGATCACCAAGGATGGGCATCAACGGTAAATAGTGAGGCCTGGCATTCACCCTGTTTTGAGCAGGACCACCTGATGGCCATGATGGCACGTGACTCCCCAGCACCAGGCGCTGCAGCCGCAGAGATTTTGGAGTTCGGCAAGGGTTGTTTCATGTATCGAGGCACTTACATGCCACGATTAGCTCCGGCCTCGGAAGTGCAGTTCAGAGGCGGCAGCGCTTCGTCAGTTGCATCTAGTGCCTGCGCATTTGTGCATAAGGGAAACTCAGAAGCTCGAGTTCGATTCGGCACCGGGCAGAGGCAACTCAGAGTGGTCATTGTTCCAGACCCCTTCGTACAGAGCATGTATGCGAGGAACTAGACTGGGTTGCTCAGCCTTGTCCAGGGCTGAGCTGTGCGACACCCACTTTCGTGCGCCTGGTCCTGCCCAATCCTCAGCCACAAGGAAATTCGGTGTCAGATAGGGCAGCACAGGAGTAACGCTTTCGGACTGGCATGTCCAAGTCGCCCTCATGCCCCAGGTCTACGAAGTTCGTGGGTCCCCTGACAATCCGCCGCACCACATCCGGTTTACGAAGGCTCCTCCGACAGCGCAGCATGTTTGTATGCTGCATTCGGCCTGTTGTTGCGCTGGACGCGGGGTTAAGATCGTTTGAGTAGTGGCTTGACTGTGGACTGTGGTTCGTGCTCATGTCTGGAACTGGTCGAAACCTTCTTTGAATGGCCCAAACGAGTTGAGCTTATGGGCAACCAAAGTTGAGAAAGCTAGTCTTACTCAAGGGGTAAGTTTACATTCGCTTGACGCCAGGCAGGTCGTCAGCAAACTCGAGCGTAACGAAGCAACACAAACGTCGCAAAAAGTCCCGTCTAGTAGTGCAAACTCCCGGGCCCATCGAGTGAATTGTGCTTGAGTGAATCAATACTGCAGATACTGCAGCGACTGTTTGCGGACTTTGGTGGCAGGATATGGGCCGATATGTCATGATACATGAATTTGCACACATTTGCACGCGGCCTTTGCAAAGCTTCAGTCCCAAACAGAAGAGCGGGCTGCGACGCAGCAGGCGTCGAGACTCGAAACAGTTGTTGACAGTTCGCAACCGCTGCGACTCCAGGCGAATCGCTTTGCCGCGGATGATAGAAGTCTGGCAGATTCCCTGGGCTCGACTGGCCCTGGGCAGTACGAGGCAGGGTTGCTTGTTTTGCATGCCTGCGCCAACAGACGTACCCCAAGCCCTGGCGAATCACAGCGCATCCTGGCACTCGCCAGGTGAAGGGTTGCATCGATCCAACGCGACAAGCAAGGTCGTTTGGTGCTTCACACCGGGCATACGACAAAGTAAGGCCAGGACTGTCGGTGATCAGACACAGCAGACAATGAAGCAAGAATCCAAATCTTTAAGTAAGCCCTAAGCTGGGTGTTACATGGTGTTACCATGTGTGAGCATGGCCTGCATGGGCTATTGATGGCTATTGCCCTGCGAGGTTCCCAGGATCCGAAAAAGAGGGGCAGGGGCGCTCGTCTCCTGGCCCCGGCCCTCCTCTGCCGTCAAGGTGCCTTGGGCACAAGAAGGACCAGTGCAGTGAAGTGCAGTGAGAAGTCTGCAGTGTGAAGCAGGATCCGTGTGTTGTCAGATGGGTCTCTAGAACAGTCGTCCTTCGGCAAGTGTTCGCAAAGGTCCGGCAAAACAGTGTCATTTTCAAGGGCTCAGCGTGCCCAGCTCAGCCCGGGCGGAGCAGCTGCGAAGCACACAGCACATCACAGCACGTCACAGCACATCACGCAACATCACAGAACACCACAAGAGAACGCAGACATGCACAGACTTAGGCCTGCCGGGAGAGCGGGGTGACCGAGCTCCGGGCCCAGGCGCCTATGAAGTCCACGACAAGTCCTTGGCCTCAGCGTTGTCAGCGCAAAAACGTGAGAAGCTACGCTGTTCGACGTGGGCGCACTTGCTCCCTACTTCACCGTACCTATAATGTGTTATTTCGTGCCAGAAACGCCACCTGCTCCCTGCTGCAAGGCCTAATCCAGACATGAAGACACAGAGTGTTTTCTCGTTTGGCAGACCCAGTGCTCGCAGCCGCATGGCATCGGTCTTAGATTCTGCAAAGTCGGGCCTGAAGAGACGACACGCTAACACCAACGGAGAGGCGCACACTTCTGATGCCAAGCTGCTGAGGATTTCCGCACCATGAAGATGCTGCAGAGTAGTTCTCTTTGGGGGATTAACTGACTTTTCCTGCTTGTGCCGTGTGACGACACCAAGCTGCAGAACTTCACATACTCACAGCGATGTGCCGAGTCGTGCAGAGAATTGACGCATGGGCACCGCATGCCATAATTGAGTGCAAAAGCACTGGCATCGTGTCAAGACCTCAGCTGAGACAACTGAGATGTCACGCAGTTAGCTTATGGGCCGAAAGTGTGTCACCATTCGCAGGGCCTGCAAAGCAGGTTAACTGTCTGCTTCAGGAAGTTCACGAGCAAGTGTGGAGAATCTTGGAAAGCAGCCGTGTGCTCTAACACGTTCACCCGAGCACTTGACATCAGCTTGGCACGATTGGAGCTTGACAGTTGAGCAGCTAGATTTGCCTTTGAAAGATTATCGTAACCCTGTTTTTGCTCAAGCACGCAGGGGCTCACAGACATCGCTCTGCACACGCAAATTGTTCCGCAGCAGGACTGTTGAGCTACTAAATGTTATCAATACCAATACCGCCAAAATTTGATGCAGGGTGGAGGGCGGAGGTAGATAGATCCGAGCCTGCAGAATGGGTTTGGCGACAGAGGCGACATCAGCCGGAGCGTGTTTTTAGTGAGAAGATTGCAGTGATTTGTGGAAGCTTATCACCGTTATCGATCGCAGAGGCTTCCAGCTCAAGCGCACGTTGCTCAACTTTTTCTGAGGCGCCGAGAGTGGCCATCTCGGGCATACCATATTGCAGTCATATTGCACACTGTGTCAGACTGGCTTTCCTTTGGGCAGTGCCCGGGGGCCGCCAGCACGCATGGCAATATCAAGGATCGTGAGTATGTCGCATCGTGTTCCCGAGGATGTGCTAGCAATCATCGACGAAGAGTACATCAGCTGAGTAGAGAAGGAACAGCAAACTGGCGAAAGCTGGCCGTGGAGCCTCTATTCGTGCCAGGTGCATCGGCGCATTGCATGCGTGCACATCAGCATTGACTGTGCCTTCCACCTGGCGCCGCTGGATTGTAACTTATGTGCCTCTCCTCGTTGCGGCTCAAGATCCGCGAAGAACTGTTTCAACATGGCAGTGCGCGGTGCGTAGTTCGACGGCAGTGAATGGTCAGTCACACATGCCTTTGCGCCGCGTCTTGAGTTTAGGAATACGGAATCATTCGGCAACAGTCAAGTACCAACAGCTCCTTCGGCGACAGTGAACCAGCCTCCGACGGTCCGAACCGCCTCACGCTGCACCGACTGTGATTCTAGAGTCGATTCATATTGCCGCCATGGTGTTGTAAGGCATGGCTCTTGCCCAGGCGCTCAAATCAGCATGCTTGTGCCTGACAGTGGATGGGTGTAGGGTGCTGACGGGTATTGAGAAATACAAACGGGAGGGGGCCCCTGCCAGAATCGTTTGTGAGCATGCGGGTTTCGATTGCTCGGGTTTGACACAGGATGGAACCTGGTTGCCCCTGCCTCAGAGTGGTTTGCTGTATTCAGCAATGCATCCAGGCTTAGGCACCTACTGCGACTCTAGACCCAGCCAGTAGCCTGCTTTTGCACCTAGTGCAAGCACGAGGCAACGGTGCAGCTCACCAGCGCGTGCAGACGCAGTGCGTGCGGACGCGGCATGACCCTTGTGTCAACTGACGATTATCCTGCCGCCATCATACACGGCAGAATACTCTGAGGCAGTCGCAGACCGCAGGCCAGCAGCTGCCTGTGGTTTGAGACAACGAGAGTTGGATGGTTTGGCAGGTGGGTTCAGCACCAGCTGGAAGAGAATCTAAAGGCCAAGCTCTCACAGCATGTCCTGCGCGGCAAATGGAGAGCTGCAGACACGAGCGCTCAGGCGATTCAGAACTCTTTGGATCGGCACCACGAGGCCAAGCCAAGTGCTCAAGCGGTGGCGTGGTGTTGCCATGCTCATCCGTCAGGCAATTGCCGAGCTCGTTAGGCAGGGCACGCCAGCTCTGCCTCTCGAACGAACAGTTTCCACCGTACCTTTTCTCTTGGAAATTTGTGTGAAAATCGTTAAGACTTTTCTCAGTCCCGCTGCTGCAAAGGCCGGCGGTTGGATTGCCACCTTTGGCACAACCGGCACGACCTTCACAACACGCGCCTTCAGCACAGGATGAAGGTGGCCTCGGCGGCATGACGGGTGACTTGCATTTAGAGGTAGCGCGGCGAGGGGTGGAGGGATGATGAGGGAGAGAGAGGAAGAGAGACATGAGAACGAGCGAGAGAGTTCGTATTCGGGGTCCTGATGCCCCGGCTGTTGCACGCCGACTGAACCGGCTAAATGTGCACCCCAACACACCGCTCGAAGTAGCTGGCGACTGCGCGGATAGGGTGGAGTGCATGTGTGTGTGTGTAGAGTTGAGGGGGCGTGCACAAAGAGCAATGATTCAAAGCAACCTGAAGTCAACCCAGATGTTCTCCTTTGGTGGGGGCTGCGCCGCAAGAAGGAAAGCATGTATGTACATACAGACATACATACATACATGCATGCATGCATACTCACATACACACATACACGCATACACGCATACACACACACATACACACATACACACATGCACCCATACACGCACACACACATACATACATACATACATACATACATACATACATACATACATACATACATACATACATACATACACAGACCGTGAGAGAGATATATACATCTATAAGCATATATGTATACACATATGACGAATATGAGGAATGGCAGGATGGGCGACTGTTCAAAACTTTCTGTTCCCCGGGCCACCCAATCCAATGTGGGATGGGACTCCTGTGATCGCAGACGGGCCCTACTGCAAAGGCATGTGATTTCGGCAAGTCAAGGATCAGGCTGGGGCTCGGAGCTATTCCCTCCTCCCGCCACAAAGTGCCAGCTCAAGGCACCGAGGATTCGACCAACAGCGAAACCACATCCGCAACTCTTCAGGCCGCGGTTGTTCGTTCGAAGATGAGACAGAACTGAGCACACGCGGAAGCTCGGGCAACGGGTCGGCCACGCACCAAGTGAAACCACGGAGGAGGACGATGAGGCCACAAGGCCAACATTAGTCTGTAACTTACTCGAGCTCCTGGAATGCTAGATGAGAGAGAGAGAGAGAGAGTTTGTTCTGTTTACTTGCCATGTTACCCGTGATCACACCCACACACGAAACAAACACACATGAGCGGTCGCTAAGTATGGTTAGAGTTGTCTCACAACAAACAGATCGCTGGAGCACGCCCCTCCAGGCGGTCCCTTCGGGGACTATGTGCAGAGGAAGAGAGAGAGAGAGAGAGAGAGAGAGAGAGAGAGAGAGAGAGAGAGAGAGAGAGAGAGAGAGAGAGAGAGAGAGAGAGAGAGAGAGAGAGAGCGAGAGAGAGCCATTTTGGCTCAAGCCACGAGCGGCTCGAGCCCCAGCCCCAGCGTCCGGGGGTAAAACTTGAGAGAGGGACTGAGGGCCCTGAGAGTCGGGGAGGAGCCTTGAGAGTTAAATCTCTCTTCCCCCTGCGCCCCCGCAGCAATCCGAGCGCTTCTACCAGATTGCAACACTACGCGTCCTCGAGCCGGGGGTTCTGTCCTTCGACTTCGGTGGCCTCGGAGATCAAGGGGGACCGCCGCTGGCCCAGCTCGCCCACTACCACCGCTGAGGCGTGCGGGGGAGTTTGTGCACAGCTTTGTGATAGGGATCGGCGGCCTACGCGAGGGGTACGTCACCGAAACGGAGGGGCCCTTTGAGTTCCTCGCCAGGGAGTATAACACTGTCGGGGGCGTGACTTGGGCAGCGACATCGTGAATAAGAACCATGTCTGGAGGGGGGATGGGGGACACGGCGTCCTCGCCGGCCAAGCGCAAGGTGGTGGATGCCGGGGTGGATGAACAGGAGGGGGTCTCGCTCGCGGCACTGCAGGCCGAACTTCGAGCCAACCAGGAGGCCACCATCAGCACCATCAGGGGGGACCTTCAGAAAGCCGTCGGGGGGGTCCAACGAGAGATGGTGGAAAGGATCGCAACCGTGGAGACGGAGGTCACCAAGCAGCTGAAGACCACGCTCCAGCTACTTCAGGAGCTCACCACGAAGCAGGACAAACACAAAGAGGGGCTGGACAAGCTTGGCGAGGGGCAGCATGCCCTTGAGGACAAGGTCGGGACGATCAGCGAGCAGTACAAGGACCTGGTGGAGAGAGTGGAAAAACTGGAGAGCAAAGGATTCCAAGGGGGGCTGTCGGTCCAAAGCACCACCACCACCGAGCCGGACAACCTGGGGGGCAAGCGAGCACCCGCCCTGATAGTGGGGGGCTGGAACGACGACACGCCAGCGGGAGAGGTGATCGAGAAGGCCACCCGAGCCCTACAACAACTCCAAGTGGACCTGGACTACCACAACATGTTCGTGCCGGGGGTCCGACGTGGTTTCGGGTTGATACCCCTTAAAGGTGCGAGAGAGGGGGAACATGAAGAAGATTACAGGCAACGCATCCAGGGGGCAGTCACCAAAATCAGAAACGCCAAGTTGCAGACGGGGCACATCCGGGAGGACACAGGCCAGCCACGCTACATGTTCCTGGCGGTCTCGCAACCTCCGGAACGAAGACGCAGAGCAAAACTGGCGGCCAAAGTCAAGAGATGCATCCTGGAACTCGGTGGGGAGCACGGGCACCTGGAGGTCGAGTTCGCCACTGGCACGGTGTGGTACCGGGGGCTCCGCATCTCCTCCGCCTCGATGCCCATGAAGGAGGGCGCTGTGGCAGCAGGAGGGGGGTGGGTGGACGTTGCGACGATGGCCAGGGGGCTGAGGCTGACAACGGACGCGGTCCAGCAGCACTGGGAGGGGCTGGCCAGCAGCCTCAAGTGAAAGCAGGGGCGAACAGCCCGGAGCCGGTTTCACCCCAAAGTTGGGGACAAAGACACCCCACCTGTACTGAATTTTCTCGCCTGGAATACTGGGGGGGCCGGGGGGAACAAAATCCTCGACGTCCTCCAGATGCTCGCGGGGGAGAACTTGCTACAATGCGCGCTCTCCAAACCCATGGTC